TTGTCCAGCTGTGTTTCAAGATCCCAACAGCGGAGCCAATATAAAAAAATTGGAACATTCCTTGGAAGATCAGATCTACCATGTGTTGAGGAAGAACCGTATAGTGACCAATATTAGGTGGAATTAATTAATTAAAATAATAATAATAATAATTAAGAAAAATTATGAAAATCATTCGATACAACGTAATTTGTTTCAGTTCAAACTCGCTGTTCGCAATCCCTGCGAACCAGGAGTTCGTCTACGTGCACACTGGGACGACAGAGTCCAGGGATATACTCGGTTTCATGGCAAGGAAATTGATACAGAGTTGCAAAGTTAGCTCAGGAGGGAGTACCTCCAGAAGTTTAGCTAGCCAGGATTCGAATATTCAACAGGAGGACTCTGACACCGGTAAACGAAGCTTAATATTATCATGATCATTCCTGTTCGATAACGATTCTTCATTTTACAGAGACTCGATCGTTCAGATCATTTTTACAACAGCACATAGACTTAGCTTTCGCGCGAGGGTTTGACGATAACGTTGGAAGACATTCTGTACCTGCTTACTTCGAGGTGCAAAATGATAATTACATTTATACAGAAGCATGAAATATTCATGTGAAACCAAAATGAAATGCATATTATTTTCAAGCAAATTCCTAATCAGATTTCATTTTTTGCTTAGATACCGAACGTTGCAATATTCTGCGAAGTGGCAAACAGAGTGTATGATTACTTCATCCACGGGACAGATAAAGAATTATCAACACTGCACAGCCTGTTGGATACAGACGTAAAGTTCAGCAAGAGCAGATGCAGCAAGGTGCTTCCACGAGCTCTGCAAACCTATCAAGAGAACCTGCCTCAGCACTACACGAGGTGCATACTCACTACAACAATTATACTTCTCTGCGACGTATTTAATTTGCCTCTCTATTCAATATGTTAATTTATCAGGGCGTATCACGAGACGAAGCTGGCTCACGCGATGGCGGTGTTCGAGATGCACGCGCGGGGTCCTCTCTTCGAGGAGTTCAGCGAAAAACTGCAAGGGGAATGCGAGAAGCATTGGAGGTCCGGTAGACAAATGTGCGAGGTTTTATCTTTAACAGGTAACCCGTGTACGAACCCGATACACAGAGGAGGTAGCGAAGGCGCCGGTGGTGGAGAACAGGTGGATCAGAGGGACAACGACAAGTCAGTAAATTCACGAAATAATATCATAGAATTTCTTGAGGCTAATCCCAATTACATTTCACAGTGAATTACCGATCAGAGAACATTGCAGTGGAGTTCGTTATATTTGCGCGTGCAACTGTGGCCGTTGCCAAGGTTCTAGAGAAGATCCGTTTAGTTTGAGACAGTCCAATTACGATTATTTCCAAATGCTCGCGAAACAGTGTGGCTGCGCGCAATTGGAGAACATACAGTTTCCAGTTTTCCAGCCGAGCACTCATAATTACAGGTAAAATCGCGTTTCGAGATTAAAAAGAGAGAATTCATTTAATTACTGTACGCGACCATGTTCAGATTATAAAGAGAAAGATTAATTGATTTAATTACTAAATAATTGAAGAATAGAGAGAGTAATTAGTTTAATTATTGGTACAGGCCGGCGCAACTGTTCTCCACAAAGAGAAAGGATTCTTTCAGCCACGTGGAATCGTCCACGCCTCAGGGTAACACTCAGGCTTGTAGCCTAGGAGTTAATAATACGCTGAACGGTTAGATAAAACATTTATCGTATACTATTTCCTAATCATTACTTTATTCTAATTTGCTTTTACTTGGATTCACTGATAGATGATATTCGAACTCCGTATGGTAGTGGTGGACAATCACCACCAACCAGTGAAACTAACGAAGACGTACCTAAGCTTAGCAATAAGACTAGTTTAACACCCAGCGATGCGCACAAGGTTGTCATCGAAGTGTCCGACAGCGACGCAGAGAACGCGAAAGGTGATCATAAATCACTAATTAATAAATGACAATATTCATTGCAATACATGAAATATCAAAAACTGCATGCATGTCACAATGCATGAATGATAAATCATGTCTCAGAGAATTCGTTCGATTCCCAGAGAAATCTTTGGTGAGGCAACCCTCGACAACGGAATATCTACCTGGGATGTTGCACACAGAATCGCCAGCTGGTTTATTGCCACAGTTTTCGAGCTGGTCTCTGGTCTGCCTTGGACCCAGCAGTTTATACTCTCATAATTTAGGTTTGCAACATCAAGCTGGCGTTCTACCTACTTCCGCCTTTCTCTTACCCTGGGACGTAACCGTAAGGTGATTAAATGAATAAGAAATTTTGTTCTAATCTCTTCCATTCGATAAGTATCAATTTTTTTATTAGATTAGAACATCAGAAGGAGAGAGGCTCCCTGTGGCCCACGATAGGCGACCATAATTCTCACGGTTACAGTTCTCGCGGGAAGAATTTTCAAAACATGAACACGATTCGAGGTCGAAAATCGAAGGGTGGAAAAGAGTTCGTAGTGAAAATATTTGTCGGAGTGGAGTACGAGTGTCCACGAGGACACAGGTTCATGGCGTCCGCGCCTGATAAAGTTTTGAAAGCGACTGGGAATGGAATTGTTAAGGACAGTGGAAACAAAGTCACTTCGAGCACTGCAGACATGCCGCTGTACTTCCCATGCCCTTGCAGGTGAATATTTAATCAACGATAAAAGTGTTTCATATTTGTCAAAATGCAATTCATCAGAATGCAAATTATTCTATGAAAGAATTATAATTAATTATGTATCTTTTAAGGCAAACGAAGCCGTTGATCGCTCAGTTAATGAGGATTCATGTAGTAACGCCGAAGGCACCGGTTCACGTGACTTTGAACCCCAGAGTGCAACCGGGACCTCCGCCCTGCCCGATTTTCGTCACCGGTTGCGACGAACCCATAAAATTGTCGCAGAGCGCCTACTGGGTTTTGCGATTACCGTATCCTTCCTTAAAGTCTCATTTTATTTATATAGTTATGATATCAAAGAAGAGGGAAGAAATAAGTGAAAGCCTTTAATCAGTTTAAATAAATTCCTTAACGAGGATTTAGATACGTGTACATGGACGAGAAGGGACCGTATTTGGCACCGAAAGAACCAGTCCCAACGTCGCACGGTAGATTATTAGCAGGAATGTACGGAATAAGCGAAGTACTTCCAGAGAAGAAGTAACATAGTATTCATTTTCATTAATTTAACGATTTATACGAAGTTTGTAAATACTAACTTACCAATATATTACGACAAAAACAATATCTTTGTCATTCTTTCACCCAAGTTCTATGAACTCCACTGTCATGTCACTCAAATATCGTCTAGCTAAACAATTAGCCATTTTGTTACGATTAATGTTAGACAATTAGCCATTTTGGAATTCGCGAAAGACTATCTACGCTACACACTTGTGTAGCAAAATTGTAGTCTCGAATAATAAAAATTAATCACGCTTACGAAAAGGGATGCCAAATTCTTCGGAATTATCAATTACATTGTTAAAGTATCCGTAATTTGGCAAAAAATGCGTCTTATATTACAAGGATGATCGCGGGGCGACCGTGCTATCGCTTGGTCGCTAAATTGTCGATTATTACTAATGTTAATGTATCTGACTCACCAAAACTGGATTCAGCACAGTTTCCAGTCTCCGTCAGGCACTTGGAACAAAACTTTTCGCACTAATTACTCGAAAATATCTTTAATCTTCTCCGACTGGCGAGCAAAACGACACTTTACCCGCACCGAACGCGACGCCAAACTGAGCAGCTCGTTAAGCGGCAAGCGTTCTAATTGGTCCGTTTAAAACTGCACCGGACGTGAGACAGGAAACACGAATTTTCTGATTGGCTAGCGTTCCAAGCGCGTTCCAACAGAGATTCAAACAGTTCAGACGGTAATTAAAATAACAAAGCCTGTAATTAAGGTTAAAACGTCTGTACATAATGCTCTTAGATTATATATCAATTTTCCGGCCGCGATTACTCTAATTCGAACGGGTCCGATCGTCAATTTTTTAACTGAAAATGCGAGGGATGCTTGAATTTCTCCGCCGTTGCACCACAGCGCTCTAACCGTTACAAAACTGCACGTTTGGGAGAAAATAAACACTTGTCATCGCTCCTCACCTGTGGAGTGTGGTTATTTTCGTCGTTTATCAAAGCTATACAATTCCCGATTACATGAATGAAACGGTCGATTTTTTCGATCGACGAAGGTAGTCTGTTCGTCAGTGAAAGTGAACCTTGAATCCTGTTTGCTGCACGAGTACTGTGTTTGCAGTGTTATGAAGTAAATTTGCTTATTGTTCTCGATAGTAAATTAACAGAAAACTGCGTTCTTTGTCGAGAGATCACGTTACTTCGTTTGTAGGTAAACTAAATCTTGTTTCTCACAAGTGAAAATAATTGAAAACACAATTGATAGAAAGTTGTTTTCAGAGATTCTAACAGAATGGGTCGTGGGTACCTCTCGATTCTGTTCATCATTTTAATTACCTCCCAAAGTAGCTATGGATCTTTATTCGATTGGGTTTGGGGCAAAGAAACAGACGACACTACAGTCTTAGTAGCTGATGGTGTCCCATTGATCTCAATCCCATATGAATCTATGACAGAGGACGAGAAGTTTCTCCAGGAGGCAGCCAAGTTCACTGAAATCCAGGTGTCATCACCTTTGGAAACTTGCCAGCACAAAGTGATAATGAAGATCAAAACTTCCTGCTCTGGGATGACCGAGGAACAATTGGCCAAACTCAGTGTTAATCTACTGAACTGTCAGTCTGCAGTTGAGGGGAGGAAGATGTTTCCTTGTACAGATGAAATGGTAAAAAATCAAAATATTTCACACATGGGAAGATACTAATTTTACGTCTATTATCTGCAGTTTCAGTGCCATTTCTGTTGCACACTGAAGGAGATATTAGATTCAAGCATGCTGTATGTGAAAATACATAAGGGAGAAGGGTGGATTGAAGCATGTTCAAACCTGCAGTTCCCCCACTTAGAAAATGCTGGGACCACCACTGAGCTCCCCTTCCTTTAGAGCCTCATAACATAAAATACTCTCCTTCAGTGTGCATTATCTTCTGTCCTTCAACAACTTAACACCCTCAGGATTATTATTATTTATACAGATTTGTGCAGATTTTTAGAAATGGATAGTTTATATATATTTGCATTGTTTTCAGTCTTTAAAACAATGCACCACGGATATGGATCCAGATATGTGGAATGCTTATCATTTGATGAGTAACAGAGCCAGGGCAGTGTGTTATGCAGCTCGTAGCACTCAATTTCGTGCTCTTACAGAATTAACAGTGAACAAGCTAATGCAAACTGCTCACAATCAGATCACAACGTTAAGCTCCTTGAAGGTAAGTGCATACGTTCGTACTTATAGAATTGAATTACTAATCGGTGAATTTAAATTAGGAAAGTCAAGATCGTTTAGAAGAGCATACAGTAGAAGCATTATCGTCTCTGTCTAAAGGCAACGAGGCATTGCTGGAGCAACAGAAATACTTGAAAGACGCTCAAGCGTCGGCTTACAATCTCGTGACGTCGAATTTAAGGGAATTGAATAACGAAAAAGCGTTGATACGTTCGGGACACACGCAACTTGCAGCAATGACAGACGACATAAGAAAGAAATTAGGTAATTAAGTAGTGAAAAACAAAATGATTGCAGATATTTAATTATTTCTTCTTGTTCAGAGGAGGCGAACAGAAATTTAAAACAACAAGCCATCGAGCACGGCGAGAATCATAAAGAAATACTCGAGGACTTGGTGAACATTCAGATGCAAGCGGAATTGATCTGGGAAAAGATCGAATCGAGCACCGAACGAATTTTCGCTCAGCACGAAGAGGCGCTCTCTCGTTACGAGCGAACATTAGAAAAATTGGCGCAGATCAACGATACGGTGCAATACATTTGGAACATAACGAACAGCATGCGTGCAGAGGTCGACGAGAAGCTTAACTGGTTGACAAATTACATCGGAGACACGGGTAATCATTTGTTGTCTTTGTTAATGAAATCTTAATGTGATTCTTAATTTTGTTTTAATTATCTAGGGGAACAAATGCATAGAATATATAGAATAGGATTGCATGTAGTTTATTTATTATGCTGCATGGTGATCGCTGCGTTCCTTCATGCACCGTTGCTTACCAGGATCACAATTATGGGACTTGTGCCAATGAACCTGGTCTCTTATTTGAAACACGGCATGGACGCCTGCTTGGATTTCCCATCAATCACTGTGTTGATAATACTAATCACGATGAGTACGTCTATTACAATAAAAAAGAAAAACATTGGATTTTAATTTAATGTACTCGTTTGATTTTAGTGCACTTTTTAATGGTCGGCATTCAACGTCTGTTCGGACCGAAACAACAAATGCGAGCCGAACCGGTGCAAGTGATCGAACGAAACGGCCACGCGAACGGACATTACGTTTCGTCCTCTTATTCAAATCTCCAATCCGAACAGACTCCCAATTTAACATTTTATGCCAAACAGAAAAGAAATGTTCGAGCACTTTACTATTCCTTGAGTTACCAAATAAATCGATGCATTCGTAAGTATTATCAATTTAAAATTTGTGCTGTTCGTATCAGAAAACATTTATGCTATTTATTATAGGAATAGTGCGATCGCTAGTAGAGTCAGTTATATCATGGAGCAAGCAGAGCTGGCCACAGCGCGAGGAGCTCTCTTGCTCTTACACTTCGTCGAGAAGGACTCGCGAGGATCTTATCCGCAACTATGAATCCGAGTTCCCAAGCATATCCGAGGACATGACAGATTTCGAGCATTCGCATTTAGTTAACGAGAGTAACGACGATCTCGATAAACTGATCGATGCCAACGATCTGAGACGAAGAATGCAGAGGCAAATGAGAGGAGCGAGCACATACTCCTCACATCAACAATCATCATCGAGGAGGTACGTGAATATTCCGCGAAGTAAAATATTACAGAGCGTAACGTCAAATTTCATGGTTTGTTCCAGTGTTACTCCGTCGTTCACGACGAGGTGCGCGGCTATAACGAAAAGCGGGAGGAAGTGTCGGATGCATACGACAAACGATCGTTACTGCGCCAGGCACATTGGTGGATACTCTGTTACCGAGGACTGAGGAATCTCTGAATTGAATGAAACGGAGCATAATATTTATCCGGAATGTTAGACAAATTTTATAATCAATTGACTACCAATACGAGTGCCTTTCAGTAACTGTACATAATTCTAGTGCGATGTGCTCAATGTTTACTCTAAGATGAGAAGACAATTAGCGACTTAATGTTTATGTATTTTATATATGTATTTAAATATTTAATATCTTATTTCGTAAGTTAGTTCTATCGATTAGTTGTATTTTATTTTTATAAATCCTCCCATTGTCATGCTAGAAGTAATGAAAGAATCTGACTTTATATTCTTTGGTTTTATTGGAAAATATCCACGTGTACTGAATTAAAATATTTCACAAAACAATAATCCTTTTTTTTTTAATTACAAATAGCCATATTGTGCTGCGTGCAAATCGCGTTGTTCGTCAATTCTAAGAACTTGAAACCGATACCAGTCGCCAAATTATGCAGATTGCAATAATTCATCCCATAATCGAATATCCTGAACCATTCGCTCGACACGGATTCTCCCTTCATCAATAACAGTCGCTAATGTATCAGCAGTTAAAAGAATGATTGATTATACGTACTGTTGCCACGCAGGATTTGTTAATCTCCTTGAAATCGATTCTGATATTCTCTACGGTTTTCAAATTCGGGGTAATGTGCACGGCTCTGATAACGTTACTCTCATCCGGTTTCGGTTCTTTAAGCTACAGTATTAAAAAAGATGTTGCATATAAAATGCACGAACAGAAATGATTGCTTTATCTTTACTCTGTATAAACATCTGTTGCCACGCGGACTGCAGTTCACGCAGGAGGACCAGTTAAGTATCTGACACCTGAATTTCTGCATAGTGAACGTACACGGATCTTCGAACTTCCTGGGGAGGAATAGAATTTCATTAGAGATCGACTATTTTCATTCGTTTTTCGGAAAGTTCAAAGCGCACGCAGAGAAAAGCGTGGCTTCGTATATTTTTCGAGGCAAGGAAAAATACACCGCCGATATTGAGTTTCTCGGAGCTTGTTTGCAGACTAGACAGCCAGACAGAATTTTTCCCAAGCTTTTTACATGCCACCGTACGAACAGAGTTTATACAATTTTTTTTCAAGGGATACGCTTTGAAATTATTTATTACATTCTTATGGAGTATACCATTTTACTATGCAAGAGGCGTGTATGGGATAAGGAAACACCAGGTACATGCAAAAAATGCATAGGACGAACAATAGCACTCCGGTAAGAGAATAAAGGATGTATTTGCAACACGAAGGTTTCACGTTTCTAATCACCACTGGAACAGAATAATCCTCCTCCTCCTCTTCCGACACGATTTTACTCTGTACTTTATCTAAGAGGGAATCACTCTTTAGAGAATAAATTCTATCTAATCAAGGTTAATGAATTAAAACCATTTTGTTTCCTCGTTTTCTGGTTGTCTTTCAATTCTATGAATCTCTGACTGTCGGCGTTTGTGTAAGGAGGTGGTCGTGTCGACATTGACCTGAGCTGCATGTATTCTCTGTACGGTCCAACCCTTCTAACGTTTCCCTTTGACCTGACCATCACGAATCGGTCATCTTCTGCGTGACGATGATATACGACAATCGCAAACTGTCAACTATATCTCGATTTGACATGTGCGTTAAAAAATCTAACATAC